TGTTGTTTGTCATCTCCCGTGTACCCCTGATATTGTTCTGTTGTTTACCGTCTCCCGTGTACCCCTGATTTTGTTCTGTTGTTTCCCATCTCCCGTGTATCCCTGATATTGTTCTGTTGTTTCCCATCTCCCGTGTTTCCCTGATATTGTTCTGCTGTTTCCCATCTCCCATGTATACCTGATATTGTTCTGATGTTTCCCATCTCCCGTGTATCCCCAATATTGTTCTGTTGTTTCCCATCGCCCGTGTATCCCCGATATTGTTCTGTTGTTTCCTATCTCCTGTGTATCCCTGATATTGTTCTGTTGTTTCCCATCTCTCGTTTATCCCTGATATTTTTCAGTTTTTTCTCATCCCCCGTGTATTCCTGATATTTTTCTGTTGTTTCCTGTTTCCCGTTTACCCCAGCTAATATTTTGTTGTTTCCCATTTGCAGTGTATCCGTGATATTGTTCTTTTGTTTCCCATCTGCCGTGTAACCCTGATATGTTACTGTTATTTCCAATTGCTCCTGTATCTTTGATATTGTTCTGTTGTTTCCCTTCTCACATGTATCCCTGATATTGTTCTGTTGTTTCCCATCTCCCGTGTTTCCCTGTTATTGTCCTGTTGTTTCCAATCTCCCGTGTATCCCTGATATTGTCCTGATGTTTCCCATATCCCGTGTATCCCTGATATTGTTCTGTTGTTTCCCATCTCCCTTTACCCCTGATATTGTTCTGTTGTTTCCCATCTCCCGTGTACCCCTGATATTGTTCTTTTGTTTCCTATCTCCCATGTATCCCTGATATGTTACTGTTATTTCCCATCTCCCGTGTACCCCTGATATTGTTCTGTTGTTTCCCATCTCTCGTGTATCCCTGATATGGTTCTGTTATTTCCGATCCCCCGTGTATCCCTGATATGGTCCTGTTGTTTCCCATCTCCTGTTCTCCCTGATATTGTTCTGTTGTTTCCCATCTCCCGTGTATCCCTGATATTGTTCTGTTATTTCCCATCTCCCGTCTTTCCCTGATATTGTTATGTTGTTTCCCATCTCTCGTGTATCCCTGTTATTGTCCTGTTGTTTCCAATCTCCCGTGTATCCCTGATATTTTTCTGTTGTTTCCCATCTCATGTTCTCCCTGATATTGTTCTGTTGTTTCCCATCTCCCGTGTACCCCTGATATTGTTCTTTTGTTTCCCATCTCCCGTGTATCCCTGATATTGTTCTGTTATTTCCCGTCTCACCGTATATCCATGATATTGTCCTGTTGTTTCCCATCTCTCGTGTATTCCTTATATTGTCCTGTTGTTTCCCATCCCTCGTGTATCCCTGATATTGTCCTGTTGTTTCCCATCTCTCGTGTATCCCTGATATTGTCCTGTTGTTTTCCATCTCACGTGTACTCCTGATATTGTTGTTTTATTTCCCATCCCCCGTGTATCCCTGACATGGTTCTGTTATTTCCCATCTCCTGTTCTCCCTGATATTGTTCTGTTGTTTCCCATCTCCCGTGTACCCCTGATATTGTTCTTTTGTTTCCCATCTCCCATGTATCCCTGATATTGTTCTGTTATTTCCCATCTCCCGTCTTTCCCTGATATTGTTCTGTGTTTCCCATCTCCCGTGTATCCCTGTTATTGTCCTGTTGTTTCCCATCTCACGTGTACCCTGATATTGTCCTGTTATTTCCCATCTCACCGTATATCCATGATATTGTCCTGTTGTTTTCCATCTCACGTGTACTCCTGATATTGTTCTTTTGTTTCTCATCCCCCGTTTATCCCCGATATTGTTCTGTTGTTTCCCATCTCCCGTGTATCCCTGATATTGTCCTTTTGTTTCCCATCTCTCGTGTATCCTGATATTTTTCTGTTGTTTCACATCTCCTGTGTATCCCTAATATCGTTCTGTTGTTTCCCATCTTACATATGCCCCTGATAGTGTTCTCTGTTGTTTCTCAACCCCCATGTATCTCTGATATCGTGCTGTTGTTTCACATTTCCCGTGTATCCCTGATATTGTTCTGTTGTTTCCCATCTCACGTGTACCCTGATATTGTTCTCTGTTGTTTCTCATCCCCCGTGTATCCCCGATATTGTTCTGTTGTTTCCTGTTTCCCGTTTACCCCTGCTAATATTTTGTTGTTTCCCATTTGCAGTGTATCCGTGATATTGTTCTTTTGTTTCCCATCTGCCGTGTAACCCTGATATGTTACTGTTATTTCCAATTGCTCCTGTATCTTTGATATTGTTCTGTTGTTTCCCTTCTCACGTGTGCCCCTCATATCGTTCTGTTGTTTCCCATCTCCCGTTTATCCCCAATATTGTTCTGTTGTTTCCCATCTCCTGTGTACCCCCAATATTGTTCTGTTGTTTCCAATCTCCAATGTACCCCTGATATTGTTCTGTTGTTTCCCATCTCCAGTGTACCCCTAATATTGTTCTGGTGTTTCCAATCTCCCATGTACCCCTGATATTGATCTGTTGCTTCCCATCTCCCGTGTACCCCTGATATTGTTCTGTTGTTACCCATCTCCAGTTTATATCTGATATTGTTTTGTTGTTTCCCATCTCCCATGTATCCCTGATTTTGTTCTGTTGTTTCCCATCTCCTGTTATCCCTGATATTGTTCTGTTGTTTCCCATCTCCCGTGTACCCCTGATATTGTTCTGTTGTTTCCCATCTCCCATGTATCCCTGATTTTGTTCTGTTCTTTCCCATCTCCTGTTATCCCTGATATTGTTCTGTTGTTTCCCATCTCCCGTTTATCCCTAATGTTGTTCTGTTGTTTTCGATCTCTCGTGTACCCCTGATATTATTCTTTTACTTCCCATCCCCCGTGTATCCCTGATTTTGTTCTGTTGTTTCCCTTCTCCTGTTATCCCTGATATTGTTTTTTTTGTTTCCCATTTCCCATGTATCCCTGATATTGCACAGTTGTTTCCTATTTGTCGTATATCCCGGATATTGTTCTGTTGTTTCCCATCTCCCGTGTACCCCTGATATTGTTCTGTTGTTTCCCATCTCTCGTTTATCCCTGATATTGTTCTCTTGTTTCCCATCTCCCGTGTATCCCTGATATTGTTCTGTTGTTTCTCAGACCCCTTGTTTTCCTGATATTTTTCTTTTGTTTCCTATTTTCCGTTTACCCCTGATATTATTTTGTTGTTTCCCATTTGCAGTGTAGCCCTGATATTGTTATTTTCTTTCCCATCTACCGTGTAAGCCTGATATTGTTCTCTGTTGTTTCTCATCTCCCATGTATCCCTGATATCGTTCTGTTGCTTCCCATCTCACGTGTATCTCTGATATCGTTCCGTTGTTTCCCATTTTCTATGTATCCCTGATATCGTTCTGTTGTTTCCCATCTCACGTGTACCCCTGATATTGATTTGTTGTTTCCCATTTGCAGTGTATCCCTGATATTGTTCTTTTGTTTGCCATCTACCGTGTACCCCTGATATTGTACGGTTGTTTCCGATTTCTCCTGTATCCCAGATATTGTTCTGTTCTTTCCAATTTCCCGTGTATACCTGATATTGTTCTCTGTTGTTTGTCATCTCACGTGTATCCCTGATATTGTTCTGTTGTTTCCCATTTGCAGTGTACCCCTGATATTGTTCTGTTGTTTCTCATCCCCCGTGTACCCCTGATATTGTTCTCTGTTGTTTCTCATCTCTCATGTACCCGTGATATTGTTCTGTTGTTTCCCATCTCCCATGTACCCCTGATATTGTTCTCTGTTGTTTCTCATCTCTCATGTACCCCTGATTTTGTTCTGTTGTTTCCGATTTCTCCTGTATCCCAGATATTGTTATGTTCTTTCCCATTTCCCGTGTATACCTGATATTTTTCTTTTGTTTTCCATCTCCCGTGTATTCCTGATATTGTTCTCTGTTGTTTGTCATCTCCCGTGTATCCCTGATATTGTACTGTTGTTTACCATCTCCCGTGTACCCCTGATATTGTTCTGTTGTTTCTCATCCCCCGTGTATCCCTGATATTGTTCTCTGTTGTTTCTCATCTCTCATGTACCCGTGATATTGGTCTGTTGTTTCCCATTTCCCGTGTACCCCTGAAGTTGTTCTCTGTTGTTTGTCATCTCCCGTGTACCCCTGATATTGTTCTGTTGTTTACCGTCTCCCGTGTACCCCTGATTTTGTTCTGTTGTTTCCCATCTCCCGTGTATCCCTGATATTGTTCTGTTGTTTCCCATCTCCCGTGTTTCCCTGATATTGTTCTGTTGTTTCCCATCTCCCGTGTATACCTGATATTGTTCTGATGTTTCCCATCTCCCGTGTATCCCCGATATTGTTCTGTTGTTTCCCATCGCCCGTGTATCCCCGATATTGTTCTGTTGTTTCCTATCTCCTGTGTATCCCTGATATTGTTCTGTTGTTTCCCATCTCTCGTTTATCCCTGATATTTTTCAGTTTTTTCTCATCCCCCGTGTATTCCTGATATTTTTCTGTTGTTTCCTGTTTCCCGTTTACCCCAGCTAATATTTTGTTGTTTCCCATTTGCAGTGTATCCGTGATATTGTTCTTTTGTTTCCCATCTACCGTGTAACCCTGATATGTTACTGTTATTTCCAATTGCTCCTGTATCTCGGATATTGTTCTGTTGTTTCCCTTCTTACGTGTACCCCTCATATTGTTCTGTTGTTTCCCATCTCCCGTTTATCCCCAATATTGTTCTGTTGTTTCCCATCTCCCGTGTACCCCCAATATTGTTCTGTTGTTTCCAATCTCCCATGTACCCCTGATATTGTTCTGTTGTTTCCCATCTCCCGTGTACCCCCAATATTGTTCTGTTGTTTCCAATCTCCCATGTACCCCTGATTTTGTTCTGTTGTTTCCCTTCTCCTGTTATCCCTGATATTGTTCTGTTGTTTCCCATCTCCCGTGTATACCTGATATTGTTCTGATGTTTCCCATCTCCCTTGTATTCCTGATATTGTTCTGTTGTTTCCATCTCCCGAGCATCACTGATAATGTTTTAATTTGTTGTCAGACTCTGCAGCCTGTAATCCCAAACACAGCCTGGTCACTGATATGTTTCGCAACTACGACAAACGTGTTGAACCTTTCGGGCCTAACGAGACACTGAACGTGTGGATGGACGTTACCCTGGTCGAGGTCTCCGACATCGTAAGTGCACTTAATATTCATATTGCAGTATTGTCCCAGTAGTTAAAACTCAATTGTGATACACTTAGGTTGTATGTTGCAATGGTGTCGGTATGCTATGAGAAGCACCATACTCTTCCAACATTCGAATTGACTTTCTCAGTACGATGTTACGATTTCCCAGGTTTCTTAGGCTGCCAGGGGCATTGTTACTGAGTTAGTGAGGGAGCTGTGTTTAGTGTACTATATAGCGTCATTATTGAATCTGGAACAAAGTGTATTTGCCGTTATATTGCAAAAATTGTTGTTTTGAATAAAATGAAAAGCAAAGTACTTTCTTCGTATACGTTAGTCTGCGGAGTAACAACATCATCATATTTCCTTTTCACTTATTGCAGGACGAGAGAAAGCAAGTGATGACGACAAATTGCTGGATAACTTTGGTAAATATGAGAGAGTGAATTAGTTTTACGCTGTTTTGATCAATATTCCAGTTATACCACAATGTGTCAGCTTTATGTGAGAAGAAGTCGAATAAATGATACAGGTAGTGGTTCAAGTATACCACCTTCCACCGTTTACCTGAAACACTCGAGCATGGGCTGACAAATCAAGGTTCATAATCAGTCCAGGATTCGAACCAAAATAATCATTGGATCCTTGAATATCATCATTACTTCACATGTTCTCCCATCAGCCGTTAATACACGCTTAATTGGGCGCTTTGGGTGTTGTCCCATTGTTTTATGCCAAACAAATCATGCCACGGGCTTGCTCCGGCGTGAAAGAACTAGTGAGTGCCCTGTCCGACTTATGAGAGTTCAAGTCGCACAAACGGTGATATCGTAGTGCGACATGTGCTCTCCATCGATCTTCTCTGCAGTGTTCCATATCAGGCAGTAGTTGATTTTGCCTAAAATTCATGCACGGAAATTTATACACGACCTCATGTCATTAGTAACAATAGACACACGTCACCAGCGGCCGAGTGTATTGTGGTGTATACAAACTGTGAAGTGTTGTCGATGATCCTGGCTACGGTACTGAGCAGGTTTATACAAGATCTGTGATAATGAGAGTGTGGTGTTTTTAATGATCAGTATGGGTGTAATTGTACCAAAGTTATCTCAAATCCAGACTATCTATTGAGCAAGACGTTTTATTTAGATTTTGGGGTAACAGTTAAAAACAGACAGACTTCCATAATACTCTCTAAAATATATCACAAGTTTCAGGATAGTGGATCATGCATCTTTTTTCCAGAAATGGAGGGATGCATCATTGGCATGGCAACAGGAAGAACGTGATAACGTGACCGACCTACGGATCCCATCCGATGCCATATGGACGCCTGACATTCGAATACCTAACTCGTAAGTACCCCTTTTTTAGAAAGAGCTTTCATCTTGATTAAAATATATCAGAAATAGTTGATGTTGTTTGTATTTGTATATACTAACACTGACAGAAAAAGTAAGTAAAGTTTCTTAAAATGGTTAGTGAATTGCACTGTCAACTCAGACACCAAGGTGTTGGTAGACTTTAGTAACCACATATTATTTTGTTTACTGATTTGACTGGTAGATTCCCTATCCTAGATTAGTACAATTTACTACTCAGTTAGTAGAGATAACCATGGATCTTTCAAAGAACTGCTGGTTATAATGATATAATAATTGATCTTTACTAGTATTCTTAGTATATTCAATAAACCTGTAGTAATTGCGATCCAGGGTAGAACAGGTTTTCAGCAACCCATGTTTGCCGTAAAAGGCTTCTATGCTTGTTTAAGAGGCGGCTAACGGGATCGGGTGGTTTAGGCTCGCCGACTTTGTTGCTGCATGTCATTGTTTCCCAATTGTGTGGATCGATGCTCATGATATCAGTCACTGGATTGTCTGATCCAGATTCGGTTATTTACTGACCGCCGTCATATAGCTGGAATATTGCTGAGTGCAGCGTTAAACAATAAACAATACAATACATGTAGAAAGTTGCACGGCACTTTAATACAGTTTTGATTCTGTGCTTTTGACAGTTGCTGAAAATAAGTACATAACAAATGACAACAGGTGAAAGATAACATAATTGTTTCTTGTTGTGTATGTGTGTTGTGTATGTTTGTTTACACGATACAGCAAAAAGTAATTGGCAGGTAAAAAAAGTAAACAAAGCTTGTTTTATACTGGCAAATGTAACCAACCTCCCATTGCGTACTTGGTATAAAGCTCATAGTTTTGTCAGTCATGACAAACTATCATCAGCAACGTTACAAAACCAGTGTATACCTAACACTCTGACTCATAAGTATCAAAATGTGTTGTGACGAAAACTGTAAAAATTCACAAACATTTCCATATTTAACAAATGTTATATTTGGGATGACTCTTTCTTAGTAAAGTACAGATTCTCCCGTCCCGAACTCACACTGCCAGAGTGAGGCACCTAATCGCCAGCACACAAAGCCAGCGATTTAGCCCACTCAACCACCGAGGCTTCCAAAAAAATGAAAATCCGACAACTAGTAGTCTAGATCACGAACGTTGTGTACCCCTCTGGCAAGTGTAAATTGCCACCGCTCCCATGGTCGAAAGTTATGAATACTCAATGTCATTTAGAAAATGATCAAATGTAACAAATGTTATATTTGGAAGAACACTTTCTAAGTAAAGTACAGATTCTCGTACTTTTTTGGGTTGAGTCCCGTTCGGGATGTCAGGACCCTTGCCGTATTCATAAGAAATCTCTGGCAAAAGCAGAGTCGATTGTATGGTTGTTTGTGTGTATGAATCACAACCAAATAGCGATGACACCGGGTGTCACACATCAACGGGCCCTCAAGATCATCAATGTTCTAGGAAGCTCTGTTCGGCCCGAATTATGTCAGTAACTGAACCACAATCCATCGGTACCTTCCTTCAACATGAGTTCTGTCACAGATCAACAATGATAGTAAGCTTAAACACTGCTAACAAAATTATTATTTGATGTGAGATGAAACCCGTCATTCCATTTAGCAATGCCGTATTTTGCAAATATGTTGGAACATTAATTAGAGTTAACAGCGCTAAAACTGGTTCAAAATAAGCGACGTGAGATTACCCAGAGTAAAGGGTTTTTTTAAATGGTATAACAATGATGCATACATTTTCGCGGCACTTATTATATATGAAGAACTTATATGTTTTACCTTGAGTGTGATAGACTATAAAATATATTAAAACATATTTTGTCAGCAGCTTCAGTTTCTCCTTCTTTCCGCAAAACGGTAAACGTGACACTGCCTAAAGCGGAAGTGAACAATACTATCAGTCTTGGTGCCAAAACTGAAATATATTACGTTCTCCCTACAGCAGTATCATGCAGTCTACCAGGCAGCATAGTAAATTCGCTGTTTACTAACCTTCTGGCCACTGATAGTAAACGGAATATGCTTATACATCATGATAACAACCTGTAAGTTAATACTAATGTTACTATTTCTGTTATCTTATACAATTAGCAATAATCTCAATTATCGATAAGGAGTGCAGTACTTTCATAATAGGAAGATACATGCTCCTGGAAAAATGTAAAGCAACACTGGTGCTTCATTTCTTTCGTCATATATCCTGAAGAACCATGCGTCTCTTGGAAATATCTTTATATTTATGACACTAATCTTACATGTTTCATGGATAGCATAACACCACTGATTCCTGCTGAAGGTTGTTTCTTCACGCGGGGGCACATACTGGGTTCGTTATATGACAGGATGCAAAGGTGGAGAGGAATTTATGACTTGTCATAATACAGCTGCAAAAGCTACCATTAGGTTGGCAACTACTGGGTGCTTGGTCATTCTCTGGTTTCAAATAACCACCTCCGATGACTGTATGCGTTCTGCGGCTGGTTCTCAATCTTCCGATTACAAAACTCTGCATTGAAAAGGCACGTTTCTCCCCCGATATATGAACCACTCGGTCACTGTATGTCAATACGAATAAGTCACAAATATGTTTTGTCTGGGAAATGTAGAAATTGCAACTTTGTGTTGATATATAATACAGTAAGCGGTGCTTATCTTTTTTGTCACTCATATATGTGTATGTGTGTCTTGTGCATGAGTGTGTGTGTACGTTCCTTATTCTTGTGCATGTAAAATGTCAGATGCTCAATCATTTTGGAAAGACAATGATTTAAATTTGAAATAATATGTTGTGGAATACCTAAACACATACTTTCATTACTGCCCAATGTTGAGAAATTGTTCAAAGCCCCTTAAACTAGTTACAGTGACAGATTGAAATTTTTTTGACATGTTTTATTCATTTATCGTGCAGAGTGGAAGTAAACAACCAACTGTCGCATAGCGAGTACCACAACGCAGTAGTACAGTCAAGTGGAGAAGTATTACTGGTTTATCAGGTCATCTTAAAAACGTTGTGTACAATTGACGTTGCATACTTCCCCATGGATCAACAATACTGTCAGATGGTGTTCCTGTCGTGGACATCCAATGGTGATCAACTAAATCTCACAAATGGTGAAAGTGGAGACGTAGGTTTATATGAATACATTGGCAGTGCGGAATGGGACATGGTCTCCTTCAAGAAAAGTCGACAGGTCTCATATTACTCATGTTGCCCCGAGCCCTACCTCGCATTGATGTACCGAGTGGTCGTGAGACGGAGGCCCTTGTTCTTCCTAGTTAATCTAATGATGCCCTGTCTAGTCATCACGTTGGTTGCTCTGCTGGGACTTCTGGTGCCGAATGAATCTGGAGAGAAAATCTCCATAGGAATCACGTCTCTCCTGGCAATGATAGCATTGTTGCTTGTTATCTCGACGATATTGCCACCGACGTCTTTAGCGATTCCTCTTATTGGTATGTTTTTACTTCCTTAATGTTTTTTAAAAGAGTGAGTGAGTAAGTTGAGTTTAACTCTGCAGTACTTCAGTTATTTCATGGCGTAACAGCTTCAGGGACTTGACATTGGGTATTCGGGTAGTTGGCTTGGATTTAATCGCAACACCGAAAATGTCCAAGAACAAGGTTGCAAATATGATTGACAAAAATCTTGAAACAAAATGGAACTACTTTGTAAAGGGCGCCAGATGTGAACGCTCATAAGAGGTCCAATGGTAAATAAATTACTCTCCTTTTTTACGCAGATGTAGTCTTATCTAAAACAAATAGAAGTTAAAGCACAAAATAGTGTCATGATTGTCAATCATGTTTACATTATCAGTGTCAAAAACATACAAAATAAGGCTTTTCTACCTAGAAGTTAGCTACATGTATGTATCATTTGAACACGTATTCGTATTAATCACAATTCACAAAGTCAGGGGTAATCTTGCAGTTTTAACCGTGCTGCTCCATCAAAAAGTAGGTATTTTCGCTGTAATAGCATTGTTTCTCTTTCGTGGGAAGGTGGTAAAGAAACTGTTAATTTTAGCGTTTACTAAGGGCTTCCTTCTCAGTGGTCCTGACATGCTTTCGTCTGATCTGAGGCAACTGGTATCTGTGAGGAAAACGAGGGTTGACAAATTCTGAACTTTAAATAGAAGGAATTGCGTAATAGGACAAATATGTAAATGTGTTGTGGACACTGCATGAAGTTGTAGGGGAATATCCACACAAACTTGAGTTAACTGAGCAAATCGTTTCACTGTTATGAGTCAGTAAAATATGCAAGATTCTGTGAGAAGCCGTAGCATCAAAAGCCTTAAGACACAGAAAGTTTCTTCCAATGATTTGTGACTAAGCCACATTAGTTGGAAAAGTTATGGCCACCATGTTCTGCGATGACGAGGGTGTCAAAATGGTAGACCTTATATGAACATATTTTGTCTGGCGTTTACGAGATGAAATTAAAACTAAGACACGTGGGAAGCTGACAAAACGTGGTGTGCTCTTGCACCAGGACAATGCACCAATTCACAAATTAGTTATTGCCATGGACAGCCAAAAGAAGAACTTTTACGAAAGTGTGATGCATCCGTCCAACATCGTTTGCAGGTGTTTATCATTATCAGTGGAAGAGAGGTCGTTTGAAAAATAAATCGTTTTTAGGTTTCTCTATTCGCGAATCAGTCAACCCTCGTATCACATTCCCGCACATGAACTAAAAATAAATGTGTGAATCGTCTTATGCCATCTATGTCTGAAAAATATGAAGATTTGAAGCAAATAAATTATTGCAAGGTGTGTTTTTTAATAACATATATTTAGGCTCCTAGTTTAAGTTTAAGTTTATGTTTAAGTAAAATTACAAGTTGGTTTTGCAAATGTAACTGAATAAAATACCAAGTCTCGGGACGCAATCCCATCCTGAAAGTATTATCAACGCAATACCATACGTGTGTTTCTGAATACGAAACATGCTTGGCATTACCACGAACAAAAGACAGCTTTGTCGCTATCTTATGAAAAGACAACGATTCCAACGTGACATTTTTGCACCCCTTTGTCTGTTTAGCTTTCTCTAATTCACCAAAATCGCCGTGCCTGGATTCCCTGGAAAATATGCACGAGATTTTTATAAAAAACGAATAAAGTAGATGTTGATGCCCTGACTTATGAAGATGTTTAACCAAATTAAATCAATATTTACTGTATTGTTAAGGTCACATACTTAAAATGTTACTTTTGACGAGGGCAAGGGTGACCCAGTAGTCTAAGTTTCGCAATGCGCTGTACAGAGTTGAATCCCTAACTCGTGCCAGAAACCTATGATAATAGGTTTGAATCCCAGATTAGTTTGTTTTGGTTTCTCAGCACCATACCCGTGCTTGTGGATTTCACCAAAGCGGTAAATCTCTTAGACCTCCATCACTCTTTGCTTTCCCCCTAATTCCAACTGACGAACTCATTCACTTAAGAGACGAATGGATGTAGGATGTCATGGGCAGGATACATTAAAGTCCTTTGGAAGTTTGACAATGGGTGATGGAGATGACACTTTAGAACCCCGCATATAGTCTCAGATGCATCTGGATTTGACAGACGGATCTTTTATTTGTTTAACTGTCGATACACATGCGTAGATATAATGTGAAAAGAACATTACTCTTGACATTTTCTTCTCAATATATTACATTACTTTTATCTGGCTTGAGGACAACTGTATTTATACATACATCAGATGCGCGAACAGTTGTATTGCTGATACGGCAATAACATAGATGGTGAAATAATTAAATGAATCTAAATCTATATACCTCGAAAAGCATGAGCTGTTGATAGAAAACAAAAGAAACTTTCGAATTTATTATTTTATTTAGAAAATAAGTATCTTAATTATTCATAAGCATGAGTAATTGACAAAATAAAATAAACCTTTTAAAAGTTATCTACTTTCAGCGCTATACAAATATATTTCGCAACATTGTCCGAAATTACAAATGACTGTACACCAAGTCACGGATCTGTACATCCATCCTCAATATCACATACATTTTATTGATTGGTGTCTGTCGTTTTGGTAAATGCCGAAGTGATTTAAAACAACAGTTAGCTGTCCTCAGAACCTTTCTGTGACTATCAATAGTCTGTCCTTACATAGCCCAGCGTATGGCTCGAGTGATTACTATGTGCAGGAACACCATAGATGTTTCATAAGCACATAAGCCGTTTTGAATGTCAGAGTTTGGGAAACGTTGTGTTCCTCATAATAAAGAAGTTGACATCCATAAATTCAATTATCAAGGAGTAAGCATTTACTCCGAAACGTTGTGTTCCTCATAATAAAGAAGTTGACATCCATAATTTCAATTGTCAAGGAGTAAGCATTTACTCCGAAACGTTGTGTTCCTCATAATAAAGAAGTTGACATCCATAAATTCAATTATCACTTCTAAATGCCTTTCAAAGACGTGAGTTTGACATTAGAGTTTGATATAGTTTGTTATTGGATGCTCTCTGGACTGGAAAAGTTTGTTATCAGCATGCCCTGATTTCGAAATTGTTTTTCATCATGATTACAGTATATTCGATAATCAGAATCCCCCCAAATCACACACACACACACACACACACACACACACACACACACACACACACACACACACACACACACACACACACACACACACACACACACACACACACACACACACACACTACCTTATATTTTTATGATTGCATAATATCATGCTCTCGAATAAAATATCCTTAATGTGAGTTATTCTCCCACAGGTAAGTACTACGCTGTCAGTATCCTCATTGTGTCGCTGAGTACAGGCCTGGCCGTGCTCACTCTCAATATTCATCATCGAGGACCGAGAGGACACAAACTGCCAAGGCTTGTGAAAACTGTGTGCTTCAGTTTTCTTGCCAGGATCCTGTTCATCAAAATAGACGTGCCAGAGTCTGACGACCAGGAAATGGTATGTTTGATGCTTATTTGATTCTTTGATACTGTCGGCAATAGTTTCTTTGGGTGAAAACTGTTATTTCATCATTAGGCTTGTGTTCAACAATTTATATATGCAAATGTTTTGAACATCGTATGTGATATATAGATAACAATACTCTTGTCAACTGTGGTCAAATGATAATGCAAGTGAATGAGAGATTGGACGGGGGAAATAGTGACTGTTGATGAGAGATTCTTAGAGCTGATGTCCTTTAATTGCTGTTGCTACGTCCTCGTGTGCGTTCTATTAAAGGCTCGGGTTTCCCTCTGACATGCTCTCTATTTCCATACTTCACACACAGGCACGAAATGCCGCTTATGACGAGGCCAACCATGCAGACATACCAGCACCCACCCTGAGCCTGGCGGAGGGACAGCAGGCTGGCGGGACTAACGTGGTGGATGTTCTCAACCGGCTACTCCACACAGTAGAGCAGGCCATAGGGCTGCAGAAGAGGAGGGTCGCCAAACAAGACAGCCTTGACCAGATTACATATGAATGGAAGCAGCTGGCCATTGTTCTCGCACGCGCTCTGACAATCATATTTCTCTTCGTCACTGTTTTCACGACGGTTGCAATGTTCTCCTAGACTCTAGACGTGGGTGGAACCTGGTGGTAAAGTGTTCGCTTGTCAGACAGCAGACCTGGCTTCTATTCCCCGTATAGGTACGACGCTTATTTTGTCCAGTGATTATATCACTTTGTGTTGTGTGTGTGGAGTACTTGGTGTTCCATGTTGCTGGTATGTTGCTGAAAGAGGCGTACAACACCAATGACCCTAGCAACCATTAGGCTTGCATGGCGACGGGCACCAATATCATTTGTTCGGTGCTCGGAGGTTGCCATAGGGTAGCTGCATTTTCTTCAGAAATTCGCTTTAGGATTTGTATATTGTCACTTAAATATGCATGATGGAACTAAGTACATTAGAACAGTGGGTATTGTTATTTGTAGTCACTATTTACATGTTACTTCGATTTGCAATGTTTGATTTGTAAACTTTATGACTGGTTATTTTGAAGTTGCGAACATTTATTATCTAGATCATTTAATTCAATTCAATTATTACAAGTTATATTGGATATCCTTTCTCACCTGACTGAACATCGAGTAAGCTTATGTCGCAGCCTGTTTGCCCGTGATCCGCCATCAACATCGTCACATCGTTTCATGGTTCGTCCTATCCATGACGACCCCACATTTGTTCAAGAGGTTCGAATCCAGTTTATAGCTTTTTATGGCCACTACTCAGCTCTTTTGTGTTTAAAAATGGAATACAATTTGCTACAAGTTTAATAAATGTTTGGGCTGAACATATATTTTCCGTGTTTCGAAATAGTTTTGCCATGGTATTGACCTTATTCTTTTGGCCATGTTCTGATATTTGCGTAAAATGAATATTTGACTTCTGTAAACTGGAATACTCATACAAAAGAAGCTGAACTTTCATATATGTTTTCTCTCACGGTGACATCATAATTTGTTCAAATCCTTGTTGGATTTTAGTGTCAGGGTTTAGTCCTCACTGTATATGCAGAAAGTATTTGAATATCAATGCTGACGGAAACTGTTGTTTAGATGTCCGTTCCCGTTACAATTATTACATATGATGTCAACAATGTCATTATTCAGCATATTTTAATAACCTGTCACAGTCAATGTGTTACATGTGATTCACTCAGGCAGTTTACAAAATGCCTACACATTTCAGTTATTTTACAAATTGACTGATAAGTTGATTTATGTGACTGATTGACTAAAGTGAAGATTATTAAGAAGCTGAAAAGGGCCCAAATGAACAAAGTACAATAGTTATGCTAGGATTAGAAACAACAAAACTAACAAATATATATTGTCTTCTGTTTACCCTTACATTTTCACTAGGTGATTGCACTGAACATCAAAATGTGTTGAATTCGTTATCATAAAATAAATGGCCAATTTGTACAGTAATTTGTAAATTTACTGGGATATTTAGGCGACTGTGATTTCAGTCAGACTTGCCACGATCCTGTTGCCACAGATTCCAAATTCCCGATTGGGCCCCATTATTATTATTGGAATACTCCTCCGACCGTCCTCAGAAATACCAAAACAGACACCAACAGAGAGATAAATCCAAACCTATGGGCGACATTAGCGCGATTATATATTTGCGGGATTTTATAAGCAAAACAGATGTCAAACAGTTCAAACTGAGTTTTATAAGGAAACTATCAGTACATCCAGTGTGGATCATGTGACTACAGGATCGTACAACAATTTCTTACTGCATTAGAATTAAAAAGAGCCCCATGATTCTAGTTCCGCTTACAGCCAAGCTATTGGTACGTCCGTTTTGTATCATGTCGGAAAACACTTCCTTTTGCATTAAACTGTATAGTCCCATGGTTCTCGCTCCATGTTACAAAGTTATAAATACACCAAGCTTGAGTTTTCAAACTAAATACATAAACACTCATATCACTGTATCGTTATTGGCCAAAAGTTTTTTTGTCATGGAAACCACAAAAAAAGAAATCGCCCAAATATCGCATATTGTACTCACGCTTCTTTCAGTACGGGTTTTAGCTGCCTATTTTATATAACATCACGTGAGAACCAGTTCTGGCCCCAAGCGCCGGTACTTTTACCATGCACAACAAAAATAACAATGTTCATACGGAATGACAACGTTCAATGTTTTCCACCCAGAACCTTCGATTATCTGCAGACAAAAGGTTCCATTAGGTGCAAAAGACAAAATAGTAGGATACCATATGGTCGCAAACTACTAACGCAGCAAGATACACTCATATTGTCACGAACACATGCATGCTTATGATACAGTCTGAATTGTACAAAATCAGATAAATTATAACTACAGTGTTCTTTGTCTCTTGTTCCTCACTATGTTTAACATACGGCTTGGAATCGTCCTGCAGAGTTATATAATGTAATTCAAAGGGATTTTTTCCAGTTATCTCTAGCTCTTTTTTTAGAAAACTTACTATGCCTAATTCCAAAGTTTATTTAATGCAATACATAGACTGCCTTAGTGGAGAGAAATACCACCTACTTTAGCTCATCATGACCTTTATTAACTTGAACCATCTTAAGAATACGAACGTCAACTGATGAAGTAAATACAAAACACATTCAAGTGTCACGAGACAATGATGTGCCATTCATGGTATTGAATTTGTTGTCAACATTGATGGTTATTCATGAACCTAATATTCATAGATCACACTCTCTGTCGTCTGCCAAGAGCCTGGCGTTTTGTAGACCGAGAGGGTCCAACGATTTGGGCACAAAATCCCGAACGTCTTAAGCCAACCGGATATAGAGCAACATTCCCAACAGAAGCCATTGTGCTAGATGTGATCGCTTTACAGGGATATTTTTAGAGTAATTAACACAAGATGTCCACTGGCCCCACTGTGGATGATTTGGATCTTGTGAATCTTGTGACAGAGTCCACAGCCTCAACCGACGCAGGCTGCATGGTCACCGTAATCCATGTCACTGCTATTCTTTGTGCCATGAAAATCAAGGTCAAGTGATCCATCCTCCTTGAAATGTACCTAAGTCCGCCTGAACAATATATTCGTCATTTCACCATTCGGACTGAACAAGACGCCAGGTGGCGCCACGTCTGATGGCCTTTTCATTACGGCGAAGGCTAATATCACGTGTTTTCTCGCGCATATCTTTTATCAGCATGTTCTCGATTAAAGATCATGACATATACAACATTTACAACATATGCATGGTTTTAATGAAGACATCGCGTTAATGTCTAATGTTGTTCTGAGCAATATCCCCATTGAATCACAGAGACACACTGATGCAGTTAAGGCAGGATTTTAGTGATACAGGCCGTTGTGATTTATCTGTTACTGAACAGAGAAATTACCCGGACATAGTGGTTGAAACTCGAGGGAATGAGGCATCAACTGTCTTACAATTTACTCAATTTGCCTAACAGCCTATTGAACAACCCTTATGTACCCTTGGTCAAACAGAAGGGTAATTGTGTTCTGCATCGAGCTGACCAGCCCTCCCACAAAAGTCTCTGCAACCAGAAAATCTCCAAGCAAACGCTTTCCATCACAAGTTGCTGCATGACACTGGCGTTTCGTTCCTCATCAGGAACATTAGTCCTGGATTTCGCAGTTTGAATGGTTGAGCCACAATTAAAGCATATGTGTCAGCTTTCTGAACCATGGCTGTCTTTTCCACAACAGTGCTACTAGCGTGGTGTGGTCTCCCTTGGCCTCAAGCATGTCAAGGATCTGCGGATCATCCTGAATGGTGGATGGACAAAATGGGTCAGCTCTTCCCAGTCCTGTTGGGCTGACGCATCTATGCCTGATGTTGAGGGGTCTAAGACCCTGCTGTTGTACAAAGGTAGCTGTGTGCACGTGTTGACTATTGAAGCTAACCTGTCCACGCGGTGAGGTTCCTACATGTGATCCAGAAGCTTGAAAACGTTTGGCTGCAGTTGCCATTCGTACTGCGGGTTCAGCTGGGGTCAGCTGTCTGCTTCTTCACTGTCAATGCCCTGCAATACTTTGCGGTTATGTTTAACCCTAACCCGAAAGCTCGTCCCCATATGCCCGAAACTATTTGGTTCAGCTTTCGGCAAGGGCTACCCGGGAGGTTTATTGTTAGCCACTGTCACTGTAGTCTTATTATGGCATTTAGAAGTGAGTGATACACAATTTCTTTATCATAAGAAACACGACGTTTCAGAGTATATGATTACTCCTTCATCAGGTAAATGCATTTTAGGAAGCTTAGAGCTTACATATTTACATGTAAAAACAACCACCCAACCCATCAACCTCGATGACTTTAATGGATATTTTGTTGCTTGGTTGCCTTTTCTTCTACAAAAGCCTTTGAATTATTACAAAATTAAATTACTACACAATAACCACGACCACCCACAACATCAACAACAACAACATCACTACAACAACTACTACTACTACTACTACTACTTGAGTTGAGTTGCGTCCCCCGGGCACGCCATAAACCTATGGTCGTGGGTTCGAATCCCGGTTCGCCCCGTTTATGTTTCTAGGTTTGTCCGCACCATACCTGTGCTCGTGGGTTTCACCAAAGTGGTAAGCGTATGAGAACTTCATCACTTCGGGCTTTCCTCGCACACTAAGCTGACAGAATGTGATATACCTGGAATACTGTTCAGAGCGGTGTTAACCCCAACTGATTATTCTCCTACTACTACTTCTACTATTACTACCACAGCTACTGTCATATTTGCAACAACAACAACAACTACTACTACTACTATCACCACCACCTTCGCTCCTACCAGCACCACTACTACTACTACTACTACAACTACTATTCGTGCTCGTGGGTTTCACCAGAGTGGTGAACGTTTGAGACCTGCATTCATTCGGGCTTTTCTCCCACACTAAGCTGACACGCCGAGATATAGCTGGAATACTGTTCAGAGCGGCGTTAACCCAAACTCATTTATTCACTACTACTACCGCTACCAGTACTACTACCATTACCACTGCCACTACCACTACTACGACCACTACCACTGCCAGTACTGTCACGTTTGCTACAACTGCTACAGCTGAAAGCTTTCGATCGTCACATTCAAGGTCCTCACTGCCTGATATTTCTTTAATATGTTCCACCATGCAACTGAAGAGAAGGTTCCAACAAATAAAACCTGTTCCTTGTTATGGCAATGAGGGACATATTATTTTATTTCTGGTAATCATTATTTTTTATGTGGCACGCATGTCCCAGCCGTCAAAGGCGCCGCAATTAGC